TTGGCTTTTCTTTTATAATAAGTAAAAAAATATATAAACAAACATAAACAACGATTTTTTTTAAAATTTGCTTTAAATGATATATTCTTATTTCAGATTTATTTCATGAATAAAAAAAACATACCCTGGTTTAAGTTTTTGTGATCTCATTCTCGCTGATAGAAAAATGACAAAGACCAGCAACGCAAGTAAGCCCCCTACTGCGGCAGAGAGGATCAGGGGGAAATAGGGATGGTAAACGTTTATAACGGAGGGGGGAATTTCTCGCTTAGCCAGCTCAGTCGAGGTTTGCTCTGTTGCGTTGGTTATGAATTGTTCGGTAGTATTCAGGGGTATGTGTAACCCTCCGGCATGTAGCGTCTCTGAAGAAGAAGAAAACATGCATTTTTTCATGAAAAGAAAATTAGTTTCGGTTTCACTCTTATTTTATTTACATATGAATCTGAAAGCACAGATAAGAAATTCTTAGATATTCTTTAATTATTAATTTCGCGAATGATCCATAAAACATAAAATAATGATATTGATAATAAACAATAATTATTAAAATTTTCTGTTTCATAATTTTCATGAAGAGAAAAAAAATCATTTGTCTATACCTGATGAATTCGAGGTATAGTAAATCGTCAATGTTCCTTCGCAGCATCTTTTCCCCTCTTTTAGAGTCCCAAAAGGGTGATTGATTTCGAGGGGGTATTCTAATTCGTAAAACTTCAGACACTTAGAGGAATTTATTTTTAATCCTTCAATATCAGTAACATTCAAAACTCCACATCTAGAACACCATTCTGGATAAGAACATTGAATAGTTCGCTCGTCCATTTTCAAATGCGGAAATTTTTAAACTGGTTATCACTTCCCCATATTTCCCAGAATCTTTTTTAATAACCTCTGTGATATATTTTTATGAGAATATAACTCTGTAAAGTGACTATCTATTTTGAATTCCTACATAAGTAGACGTATCTGTATTACTCTAAATACATTTATTTTTTTACACGCGCACTATGTAACCATTCTCTAATCATCAAAAGAATGTTGTATTTAGTGTTTATTTTTATGTTTCTATAAAAAAACACCATTCTTAAGTCAGTTTAAAAGATGTGATAATTAACTTGTCGTGTACAGTGTTTTACAAAATAACATAAGGATCAATTTTAGATTAATTAAAACTGAGGCTGAAAACGATTCGTAAAAAGATTTTTTCCTCCATAGTAGATTAATCATAGACAAACAAGTTGATGAAACAAGAATATCAACAGTCTCGTTTAAAGTCATCATTTAATAAGCTCTGTGATCGATACAATGACCCTGTCAGCAAATACATTTTATTATTGAGTCAAATGCTGACTGACAATTTTTCATACTAATTTTTTGTCCATTATTTACACACTAAATTGACAACGGATTTTTCCGTTATTTCCCGATCATGACAAGGAGCACACGGCGAATGTGACCTGCCGGCAGTGGACCTGTTCCCACCTCTGATGTTTTGGAGGTCCATGTTTTCCAATTTTGTATTTTGACAGGGCGTATAGATCGGAGAAAGCAAATTCCAACCAACAACCCTGCCCCTTGTACTGAATTAATTCGAATGATTATAGTGTGTTATAAAGAGACAGTTGGCCATATCCGTTTGAAAACCTTATTATAATAGGACCAATGAACTTTTGTGAGGAGTGTCAACTTTTACCGTCGACGGCTTATTTTTGCACTTGGACTGTATACGGAAACTCTTTTGCAATAAAATTATTTAGCTTATCATTATATGTATGATAAGCTAATGATATATAACTTGCCCATGAAGAACCCGACAACCACCCTGCCATCATTCAGATACGGCCCATCACATACTAGTGCCCCAAACACCATACCTATTACCACTAGAAAGGTTTTCCTATCTATTATCAAACCTGTACCTCTGTACATGACACAGGTTTAAATGTCAAAGTAAACCGTCAACTGTAAACGCCAGTGCTTCTCGCAAAACTCCACTATGTGACTGACTACTTTCTGACCAAAATGACGGATAGTCGACGCACAAAATAACCCTATTGTTGTTAGATTGACTTTTATGTCATTTTCTGGTTAAATATCAAGATATGAAGCAGACGTAATCAAACTCTGTGGTATCTTTTCTTTCAATTTCACTGGGGTTTATCGAGTCGATATATGAATGGAAATTACTTTTGTTAGTTGATTGTACATCGTATGTATATCAAAATGGCGAATTGAATTCAAAGGTCATAGAAAGTGTTTTTCTTGTCCTGTGTAAGATTTTAAATTGCTCCTGCTTCTTGTGAAAATAAAAAAAAAGGTATGCTAAAAAAGGTCTGCAATTAAACATGAAAATACCGAGAAATATTTGTATATCTTATTATTATCTGCCTAATTATTCAATGTTTTAACGGTCATATAGCACCATTAAACATATCTACATATCTGCCGTCTTAATTTCTGAATATCTTATAAACATCACAAATTATCCATGTGTTAATTGAAACCAAAGTATATATTTGAATTTAACCGATCAGAATGCTTTATTCGGTAATTCAAAGGAATAACAAGATTTCCACTTAATATTCGATGGTTTTACTCAATTCGTATTCAAACAAAGGGTCATCAGTTGTATACATCATCGACGTAAGCCTCTGGCCGGAAGTGTTTTTCTGTGCGTTTATACCCAGATCTGTCCTCTGTTTATTTGTTTGGCTTTGGTTGTCTGTGGCTCCTTCAGAATCACGCAATGAAATTTCAGGTTCCAATGTATTTGATTCCTGATGATGGTCTTTATCTGAATAGGTGATAAATAAGATCCATTTCATTTATCAAATTTCTGTAGTTCATACGTATCTGTTTAATTACGTTTAATTAATCATTAAAAACAACAAATGTGAATTTACTAAAGACCTTGACGATTTTTTCCTCAAATAATTAGATTCCCTTTGTATCTTACTTATCCATTATTAAATTACGGCTATTGAAAAAAAATTATGTTCTGTTTTGAGACCGGAGAAACCAAATCCAACCAACAACCTTGCTCCTTGTTTAGGTAGGACGATACTCTAGTTACATTTTTTTTTAATTTCAGTTAGTGGTTCAAAATGATAAAACATACCTTTCTTTTTGCCCCTTCTTTTTAAACATCTGCAAAATAGTCAATATAAGCAAATTATGAGATGCAAGATGTTTGCATAAAAACAAATATTGTTATACCTTTCAAATTTGTTCCTATACAAATCTATATGAAAAAAGTCTAACATTTCTAATGTTTTGCTGAGCGGTTAAAAAAATCGATGTTGGACCGCTGAGTGAGATGTTGGACTGCTTACGTCACAAAATGGGCGGAGCTTCGTCTCATTTACATTCGACTGCGTGTAAAGTGACGGACTTGAGGTTACATCACGGAAGACAGTACAAAATACATGTATGTCAAAAAATTAAAGTGAAAGGTACATGTATAACAAAACACTTATTGACCATGTTCTCGGGTAAATGCGTGTTGTCGGACCCTCGAACCAAACTGTCTGGTTCCTGTGTCTGACAAAACGCATGTTGCCCTCGAACTCAGTCAATAAATGTATATTGTATAAAATTATGAAAATTCATAAAAAAGAATAGAAATACCGTATAAGGTAACCCGCCATTACAGTTGTAGTAACGAGACAAAATCCGATTACAACAACTGTTGTGACAATCAAAGATTCGGTAAAATGATTTCCCATAGTTGTTTCTATAAAGGAACAAAATGATTACAGTGAAATATCATTGCTGAAATCAGTCTTTCTTTATATATTAATTGTTCTATTGAAAAAAATATACCCAAGATAGAGAATATAATACATATTGTTTTACATTTCAAGCATTCAAATGAATTTGATATAATGCAGATGTCTTTTATTCAAAGATTTATCTCTAACCATGTATTCTAGTTTGTATTCAGCCTTTGCATCAATGACAATAATAAAATAAAAAATGAACAATTTCTACAATGAGGTAAATTATTGACAAACCAGTTGATGAAACAAGAAATTCTCGTTTAAAGTCATCATTTCGTAAGTTCTGTAGTCGATACAATGACCTTGTCAGCAAATACAATTTATCATTGAGTCATATGCTGACCGACGTTTTTCATACTAATCGTTACTCCAATATTTATACACTGAATTGACGACGGATTTTTTCGTTATTTCCCGATCATGACAAGGAGCACACGGCGGTTGTGACCGGTTGGCAGGGTATGCTCACCCCTTCATGGCACCTAATCCCACCTCTGATATTTTGGAGGTCCGTGTTTGCTCTGCTCCTATTTTGTATTGTTTAATGGACTTTTGATCTGAAATACTGTTCGTTATCTCCAATATATGTTTCATTAAAAAAATTATTACAATTTTTTATATTTAAAAATATATAATGTCATTTTGTTTCTGTTTTTTTTACTTTTGTTTTTTTTTTGTTTTTTGTTTTGTTTTTGTTTTTTTTTTGTTTTTTGTTTTTTTTTTTGTTTTTTTGGTTTTTTTTTTTGCTGATTTTATAATGAAAATGTATGTGTTTTGGCTATGTATTGTAATCGAATCAAATATTAACCAGTCATATAAATCATCTTAAAAAACAATCGTCAAAAATATTTCAATGTGACTGTCACGACTGACGAGTATGACATATTCAGCAAGTTAAAAGCTTTTGAAACTTTAGATTTGGCACAGATAACATTTTTAACATAACGCAATTCTCATTTTGGTGAAGGGTTTTTCCAAGTTATAAAATAGATTCTTGCTTACATGTTTTATATTGCACGAATGAGATTTATTGTCTCACTGTACTTTCCGCAAATGATCCAGGATTGAAATTGAATCATTTTCTTAAAGTCAGCTTTGTTTAACAATTATCACAGAGCAAAGTGATTTTCAGGATTAGTTTTCCTCACTAAGATTGATATTAGAGATTTAAAGAATCAATAAAATTATGAGATATTGTAAACTAACACAAAAAATATAGAGATAACAAACTCAAATTTCATTTAACTATACAAAATCGGGAGGAGAGCAGACAGGGGCCTCCAAAAACAGTGTCAGTATCATGTGCCATGGAAAGGGAGCATCGACCTATCCTACCCAACTTGTGTTCCTTGTCATGATCGGGAAAAGGGAAAAGTTTATTAACAATTAAGTATATGAATAATTGAATAACAATCAGTCTATATTTGACTTAATTTTCGGTTATCTCGTATTCGCTGAAATTTTCATAGCATAGACCATAAAACTTGTAAAATATGAGTCTAAACGCGACTGTTGACATAAGTGTTTCAACAACTTTTTTCTCAGTAGCTTTCCTAGTTTTAGAAATTGTTCATTGAGCATGCTCTTTTGAATCAAATGAGGAACATTTACTCCATGTGTAGGTGATTAGGGTACACTGCTACATAAGTGAGGGAAATTGACAATTGAAAATTTGAAGTCATCACATTTAATCATAAAGCTTTCTTTTTAAGTGACCATAAACGTCTTTTTCTGGTATCATATCTAATTATGAAACAGATGTGTCAGAATCTATGTTACTTTTATTTCAAGATCACAGGGATACATCGAGTCAACATGAATGTAAGTTATTATTATTGATTGATAATACGTCATCAATATATCTAAATGTCAAGTTAGAGACAACAGCTAGTGTTTTTTCTTCTCATGTAGAAATTTTTGAAGGATAAAATGTGTAGAAGAAATGTTATTTTTTACCAGTAGCATTTTGGCAGGAACAGTTGAATGGATCACACTGATCACACAAACAATGATCTCGACAACCAAATCCACAGAAGCCGGTTTTACATGGCATAGTACATTGTGGACCAAATTGTCCAAAACATCCTTTAAAATAATTTGATTTTACCACGATACATTTGTATCGTAGTGCAAAAATGGCGAATTTTTTAAATATTTTCATCACAAGGATATATTTATGATGACTTTTATGCTTTGTTTTTAATTTTATCGGTTATGTTCCTAATAAAAGTTCGATGGACTCAGGCATTATAAATGCTTAATAATACTCTTTCACTTGGAAATCGATTATCAAAAAGTTGTTTTAGATCATTGGTTTAACATATGCTATTTTTGGATGTTTTATTCAAGAAGTAGTTAATCTCCATAAAGAATGTCAAAGGGGACCGAACCTCTGATAAGAGAGATAACTTCCTAAGTATATTATTCCTGAAAATTACTCAAAATTTGTTATAATACAAATTTAGTAATGGAGACCTTTGGAAAATGAATTCAAACAAAACCAACCAGAGAAGGGAAACATAAACTTCTTTTTGTCAAAAATTCGTCATAGTTTTTAAATTTTATTTGACCTAAAACATTTTTTAGCCCTGACGCACCGGTCACTCCGCCGGTGTATTTATCACGGTGTAATCCGTATAGTCTCAAGACAAAAAATATCTATTATACGAGTCATATAACTTAGGTTATAGTTAAAGTACCAGTATCAAATTGTTTTTAAACTTTTACTAGGGATTATTCCGTGAACGGTTGACAGGGTATGCTTTCTCCTTCTACGCATCTGATCCCATCCGGAATTTTCAAGGTCCTTGTGTTAAATGACCCTTTCTTCACAGATTTGCATCGTACATTTATTTTAGATTGATCACTGTTCAATATCATTTCCTATTTTGTTTTTAATTCTAATAATTTATATGCTGACCAACATTTCCTATATTGTAACAAATAAATAATATATCAATGGTGGTGTCTTTTCTTAAGAAAGATTGATTACATGTTATCGAAACATTACTTACGAGTGCATTCTAATCCATTCCATTTATAATCTGGGCAACACTTTGTTGAACTGTAAAAAGAAAATTCGACTAATGTGCCAGTTTAATTATGTAAAGTAATTAGAAATCATGATTAATTTTCTTAGAAAAGATGGTGACAAAAACTACTGTGTATCTATTGTGACTAGTTTAACTCAATGTACTCCAATGAATCGATATGAAGAAACAACAGATCTGCTACTTATGATTTATATTATATTACGTGGGCTTTGGATGTTAATGACAAACTTTTAAACCAATTTTAAATAACTTCAAATTTTCAACAGCCATTTTGAAGTTCCACTATTGTATGATCAATGTTTTGGTCCCTTGGTCATGAATCAAAAATAAATGACTTCGTATTATATTTGAAAGTACATTATTTTGTCATTTGATATTTAGAGAATGGTCGATTATTTACTATTTTTACTTCATAATTATCTGTCTTTATACCATTGTTCTTTCTTTGAGCAAATTAGAATTTTGTAAATTAAGAATGTTTGTGGCATGTCTAATTGATATTTGACGAGTGGTTCTGTACATATGAAAATCGAAATTATGACAAAATATGCATGGTGGATATAAATGGATAGATAAATAAAATATCATTTGATTGACCTGAATGACTTAAAAATATATTGAAAAGTCATACACAAAATATATTATTACTTAATTAAAAAGGAATTAAGGATTATTTCGGTTACAAACCATTTGAAAAGACCTTTCACAGTTCTTTAAAGAAAAATAAAATATCTCAAGATTCTAAGAAAACAAAATTCAAGAATCCACTTTCTTCTAATTTTCTGTTTTGCATTAATGCTGGAGTTTCTATTCTATACAATATTTAAAATGAAAAATATCAGATTACCACCCCGACGTCTGCCATATCAGTCTATATTTTGATGTTTAACTGACTATACACAATAAGTGCGCAATAACAACTACTTTACGTATGACAAACAAGATGACTTCAGCTTTTCCATCGTCAATTTTTCTTATTAATGAAGTAATTCCCCGGCATCATTTGCATATCGTCTTTTAACAGCAAGCTCCGAGTACGATCATTTTTTAAACCAAGGTTGGTTACTGAAAAACAAATTGAAGCTAAAGGGATTTCAGTAGCCTCGCTTAAAGTCGTCATTTCCTAAGTTCTCTGATCGCTATAATGATCTTTTACAATTATAACCTAATGATTGATCGTGTTTTTTGTCTGCTTTGATTCATAACAATTGTTTGGCGTTTGTTTTTACTAAATTTGAATACATTTCTCGTGTTCCGTCTACCCTGTCAATACAGGCTCACAGCGGTATTTACCGGTCAACAGGGGATGCTTTTTCTCCTTACCACCTAACCACTACATGTAATCCTACATCTGGAATATCCAGGGCTTCGTGTCTTAATTATATATTTTTAGAACGATTACTGATTGTTATTTACACCTTTTTTCATTATATCAGAGTATACTTTATTTATCAGGCCGTGTTTTTTTTTTCATTTATTCTAGGGAGGGGGAGGGGGGGCTTTCACATTTTAGCAACTTCAAAGCTCTTCAAAACTCATTTAGTATATCATAAGATTTTTAAAAAATATCGATAATGACATACCTTCCTTCTTCACTACATAATCCTTCTTTTCCGACAATAACTTGCAAATTATAACATAAAGCCAAAATCAAAATTTTAGTCATATTATGAAAATATCGACTAGATTAATCTGTAGAAGATAATTATATACTTTGAAAATGTCCGCATTACTCATTTATATCATAATGCTTTTCCTTTTATTAATCTCATGGAAATTCACTCAATAATGAAGCAATTTAAACGCGACTATAAAATTGATGCAGCTTTTAAAACACATACTTTTCCGAGCACATTTAGTTAAAGCATTATAATGAGGAAATGGCGTTTATTTTACGTGTGCCTAAACTATTGTTAATTGACAATTAATACAATATACATGTACGGGTATCTAAATGTCGAGTTGAAGGCCAAAGTAAATGTTTTCGTCTTCTTATAAAAATTTTTTATCACGGATAATGGGGTTTATCCAATATGGATAAACCTGGTTATTTCGTGCAGCTTAATGTTTTACATGCAAAGATAGATAACTCTTAGTTTCTTAACATTGAACGTCATAAATCATCGGGCTCGGTGCTTAAAAAATTCTTGATATTTCTTGTATGCGCATGTCTTCTAGAATATTCCTTTTGAATCTGTAAATTGAACGAAGCAGACGCAAAGATTTTTTAAAAGAATTAATCGATCATCATCTGCTGATTTATTGTCAAATAATATGTTTTACGGTGTGACCGTTGGGGCGAGCGCAGTTGTACCATCAAAAACACTCTAAAAAATTGATCAGCCACTTCAAACATCAAGCCGCACGAGACATCTCGACTACCTGTGACGTCACACGACGTCACGGAGTTCGTCGGAGCTTACGGAGACAGCCGAGCGTCTGTTTGAAACTATAGACGTAGTGCATTTTGGGTCGAAAAAAATTGCAGAGTTATTTTTTGTTTCTTTGAAAGATTTCTACAAACTGAAAGCTTTTTATGCTTTACGTTATTGTTTATTTATTTATCTATTTCACGGAAGCAACCGACATGACTTAATTAGCATATCGTCAAAATTCGTAAGTTTCCGGTGACGTCATTTGCATCATTTCCGAAGGGCAAGGTGAAGGCCGGTGTTGTGGCATGGGGGTATTTTTTTGAATAAGGCAAGGCAAAATCATTTCGTTAAGATTTCGGTAAGAAACAATGTTCCTTTATTTTTTTTACTATTTTTGATTTATTCGCGCAAAGGACATTGGGTAGTGCGGGAATTCTGGGAATGTTGCACAGAGAAATTTGGCTGACGTATGTACAGATTTCAATCCGAATTTCCTCTGTTCTTACACGTTAGTCTATTGAGCTCGCTTCGCGAGCGTCGCTTCGCGACGCTCGCTACAAGTAAATATGTTACGTGTATCAAGAGCTTCGAAGGCCAGAAGACCTTATTTCAGAGAAATCACAAGAAGTTCCGTATCCAGACCTAAAACATAGATAAGGCCTAGCTGTAGAAACTCATGCAGTTCTGAACATGATGTCGCCAAAACCAATATCGAGTGTTTTGTGTATTTCTGCACATTTGGGAATTTGCCTAAATCTTATGCACGTGTATCCGTCGTGGTTTAAACCAGAATTACAAACTTGCTTTATAAAACCAAGACCCTGCATAAATAGTCTATAAACTATCCATCTAGGCTTCACATAGTAATAATTTGGGATTTCCATCGTTCGTTATGTTTTCTACGGTGATCTAGTAATGCCATTTTTATATAATTTTCAATGAAAATATCGGGGTTTGTTAATAAAAAAAAAAAAAAATCGTCCCATTACATGTACATAAACATTTAATTTCTTTAAATATACACTAAATTATACATGTACATAGAATTAATTTTTTAATAATTGAATTAATCGAATAATTAAACGTTTAACAATATTTTGTTTTTCTAAACGACTCCCAAAATGATTAAATAAATAAAAAAAAATAAGGTATTCTAGACTTATTGATTTGTAATTAATATTAATTTTATTTCTTGGGAATTTTAATTGTAGGACACGTCACACCATTTCCTAGTCGTGTATGGCAGGAATAATCTATAAGATTAATGCACTTCAATTTTATTTAGATAGTTCAATGGTTACGTGTGGTGTTTAGTAAACATTGGTCTTGCCCACATTGACCGTTGACTGGCCTGAGGAGTAATGCAGGGATATCGCCTTCCTAAAATTTGTATCTGTTGTACTAAGGATTATGATCTGGGCTGAAAGTTTAAATTAAATTTAAAAAAAAAAAAAAAAAAAAACCAACTTCATATTGACAATTTTTCTTTGGTTTATAGCAATTTAATCACAAATCATCCAAAAAAACAATTATGGCATTAGTCGGGATGTTAGTTATGCAGATTTTTTAAGTTTAATGTACATTTAAAAGCAACATATACAAGGTATATTATAAAATAATGATAATAAATAAATTCCATATACTATTTCTCGGTTTATGTGGACCAGGTTTCATTACAGTACCTTTTCCCTCCATGTACATGTACCTATTCAGTTTTGCATCTAACTATTTAGGAGCCAGCTGTAGCCAGTCTCCTTCAAACTGGTGTATCTCAAAATACAGAAAGCAAAAGTCTTTTTTCAATTTCAGGCAACAGGTATCATTTCAGCAGATCTGGTCCCCTCCTTTTGATCATATGATTAATTTTATAGCATATATATGTCAGAGTATTATGGTTTTTCTACCGTCAAATGTTATTTATCAGGAATCAGTTTTGTCATCAACTTGCATGGTTGACAGAATCCAATCGATTCATTTATTATTAATAAGATATGGGTTGGTTACAAGAGATGTAACTAATGCGTCTCAGGATATAAGAAAACTATTATATTACCTATGTTGGATAACATTGTCAGTGTTTTGCCAGATTTGTGTTCTGATTTTGAAGCTGCTTTATTTAAGTCTGCTTTTACATGATTTTGAAGCTGCTTTATTTAAGTTTGCTTTTACATGATTTTGAAGCGGCTTTATTTAAGTCTGCTTTTACATGAGCTTTCTTTGCATTACTAAAAGTGAGTAAAATAGTGGCTTTGGGTATCAAGCATATATAATTGTCTCTTGTGATACCATTCAAGTTTTTTGTTACAACATTTTAGACTGGCCAAACTGGTTCGGGAACATGTTTGCATTTTGAAAAATATTACAATATGATTGTTTCAATCTTTGCAGAATTTTGCTGTATTATGTACAAATATTGATAGGGCGTCTCAATTATTTTTCGTAAACGTCACTTCCGAGATAATGTGAATAGTACTGCGCAGCCGCCAAGTCATTGAACTGCAAGTAGCCGGCGCGAGTAGACGTGGTCTCACTTGCTCGATCAATTTTGATATATTTTTACATATTGACGAGGTCAATATCTTCTTAGAACTTTTTCAGAGTTCATTTTTGTTTCTGACGTGGTCAGATCAGTATTCGGGGGCGATTTCGTTTGACGTGGTCAGATATTTTTTCATCGGTTTTGAAAGTTCAAACCACGTGCGTCATGGCGGACGCTCCTAACCATGCTAACCCTGACGATGATAAAGCACCGGTCAAGGGAAAGAAAAAAGCCCCGAACAAATCATCGTCTTCGGAGAAGACACCGTCTAACTTACGTTCGTCGTCGAGTTCGTCGACTTCGACTGGCACTTCCACGTGTTCTCGTGGTCATGGCGGAGGACATGATAGTTCCGCGCCAAATAACGAGAATGAGATTCTCAACATATTAAAAGCGATTCAAGAGAATCAAAAGAAACAAGACGATCGTATGACAGAGCTAGAAAATCTGTATGATTATGATTACCAAGAATATGAAGATCGTCAGGACGATACCCCGGACGAACCGGGTACTTCCGGTGAAGCGGCTTCGAGGAAGCGCGCATTAGACGAGATTCTGAATGATACGGACAACAAGTACGTAAATGCCGGTAAGAAACTTAAAGTTAAAGAGACTTGTGATAAACCTATTGATGATGAACTAGCTAATCTCGTGACAGATTGGTTCCGAGAGGGAATCGAGGAAGAACGATATAATGAGCTTCTAAAAACGACAAATCGTCCTGAAAACTGTTCAGCATTAGTGACTGTGAAAACTAACCAAATGGTTTGGGATTTTTTGAGCCCAACTACAAAATCTTCCGATAAGAAGATGCAAAATGTTCAGACTTCGTTGATCAAGGGTGCTTGTGCACTCACTAAACTGACTCATTTGCTCGGCAAGTGTGACAATCCTGAGATTTTAGACCTTTTGGGAAATGCTATGGAATCATTGGCATTGCTGGGGCATGCTAACAGACAGTTGTGTATGTTGCGTAGAGAATTTATGAAACCTGATATGAAGGGTGAATATACTCACCTTTGTAGTCATAATTTAAAGTATACAGACTATTTGTTTGGCGACGATGTCCCTAAAACTGTAAAAGACATCACAGATTGTTCCAAAATCAGCAACAAAATTGGTATCGGATATAGAGGGAGCTTCCGTGGTCGCTTTATGAGGGGACGATCACGTGGACGCTTTGTCCGAGGAGCTGCAAGGGGTCGTGGATCCTACTCGAATGCTGCATCCTTCTCATCTGATTCAAAAAAAAAAAAAAAAAAAAAAAAAAAAACTACCAGCGAAGAGGCTTGCAGAGTCGCCTCCAGAAGTAGTTGAAAAGGTATGTGAATTTAGAGCAGGTGTACTGAAAAATTTCATTTCTGAATGGAAAGATTTAACATCAGATAAAAGTATATTAGATATTGTGAAAGGTTGTCACTTGGAATTTAAAGATGATAAAATTCCTGTACAAAATTCAAAACCTTTTGAGCCACGTTTTAGTTCAGCTGAATCATGTGTGATTGACAAAGAAATTAAATCTTTATTAGATATGAATGTAATTGAAGAATTGTCTGAAAATGTAGACCTTAGTGATGGTTTCATTTCCACTGTTTTCACTAGACCTAAAAAGAATGGTAGTTATAGAGTCATTTTGAACCTGAAAGAATTTAACAAAAACATTGTGTATCACCATTTTAAAATGGATACTTTTGAGAGTGCTCTTGATTTAGTGACTCAAGGTTGTTATTTTGCTAGTGTTGACTTTAGCAATGCATACTATAGTGTCAGTGTGGCAGAGGAACATAGAAAGTTTCTTAGATTCATATGGAAAAATAAGATTTATCAGTATACTTGT